CGCTGTTCACCCAGAGTGAAAATTCGTTCCTCCCCCTTCCCCCCCACCCCACCTCCTTCGACCCCGACGTTCGAGGCACGTTATACGTTGGAGATCCCCAGCGGGAGGAACTCTAGGTAGGGGTTGTATTTCCCGTGGAAAAAAATGTTTTTGGTCGTCGAACTTTCTTGCGTTTTCACTTTTCACAAGGAGTACTGTGCTACTTATCCCCGCAGCGCATCCCATCCCACCCACACCTCTGCTAAACGGCAGTTTTTGGACAAAAACTGGAGAATCTCCTTGGAAAAGTGGTAGAAAGTGGGGAGAATTTAGGGAGATGCCAGGAACGATGGGCAATGGAAAGTGGATCCAAGAGGAGGGAATTCTGAGAGGTCGTATTTTGCAAAAACTTCCTCCGGCAGGACGTGTCCTACCTAACCCAGGCTATTCCAGCTCCACACTGGTGAGGTAGCTTTTTTTAGGGCGAACTCTCCTTCCCAGGCGAGAAGTGCCGCATAGGAAAGCGAGCTCTCGCCGAGAAGAAGCGTTCCCTAAGAATAAAAAGACCCCTAGACATTTCATCTTCCCCAAAATAAGCATCAGAATTTGGCCTTTGCCCTGCCTCTTTCTTCTTTCTTTGATAGGCCATTGAACCCCTCAGGGTAACCCAAATATTCCATGAAAATGACGTACCGTAGGCCTCCTGTTCCTCTGTGATATCCTTTACCCAGGCTTTTCGAACGTATTCAGATCTTGTCGCATCCTTTGGCTTCAAGCTGCAAGCAATAGATTTGTGAAACTATCAGCTACCGTAGTAACCCCTAGAAGTACCAGTACCTGAAACTTGGTAATCCTAGCTCGTTCGGTTTCAGAAGAATGGTGTCTTCATGAAGTTTATGGGTAGTTACTGTATATTTATCAAGCTTAAATAAATACTATTTATCGATCGAATTTGCGCCAGAGATCAAATCGAGTCAGATATCGGCGCATTTCGCCGACGGGGGAGGGGCATTCGGCACTTTCGCTACTTCCATTGTCGTTTTCATTACTTTACAAGAGTTAATAGGTAATTTTTATAAGAGCTAACGAGTACTTTCTACAGAATTTGACCGGCTTCATAAGACTTCCCGAGTCTCTACTTGATGGCTCGAAAAGACAATGAGAAGCAGCGGAAAAGAAAAATGCCTACCTCCCCCCCGTAGCCAAACCGCGCGTGATATCCCCTTGAAGGTGTTTTTGAACTCACCCTGATTGTAGCCAAATGAGTATAGGTGGCTGGCTCTGTGGAGTCATTTTTCTTAGTGATCATCAATTTGTTTTTGAAAAGGAAGACATAGCGCTGCTTTTCGGGTTCATCTCCCTCGGCGACCTCGAACGAGTCCTGAAATAGGTTTCGCTCGTGATGGGTAAGTAAGCCAATACACTTCTGAGTAAGTGCAAGAAAACTATTGTTGGTAATTTCAGATAATAGTGGTTGCCAAAAGTAATAATTGAAAGTAATAGTCAATGATGGCAGTTGATTTTGAGTAACAGTTTCAATAACTCGGTAGGGACATTTCACGATAATCAGATGGGCGGAGACTCATCACTACTGCATCTTTCCCACTGACCAGCGCCTTTGGCCTGCGCCTAGAGGGAAGGGGAACTTTGTAATGAAGAAACCACTGGAGGGTACGTCTGCTCGCCCGCACGCAGCCGGTGGACTGTATTCTCGCAGGTATCCAAAAAATTTCTGAACAGCAAAAATCAACGGGCCTCTCTAGTTATGAACAGTGGTTTTCTTGCTCTTGAAAATGCTTGGTGCGGACGCCAGGGGTGCCAGGAGCCAGGTTTGACACTGCGCCAGACAGTTTTCCACCAATCGTGGTCACCTGTCAGCTTCCACACTTGATGGAGAACGGGTTGGCACAGTGGGAAACCCAAGCATCTCGGAAACGACCCCGGTATCCGCAGGGAACAAGAGAATATTTATAGTGACAAGCTATGCCATAGTCATGTATTCGACGTGGTCCTGAAAAAAGATATTGCTCACATGTCGGATAAGTCGTCCAAGTTTATTGGTGTCGCCGGGATACTGTAGAATGTTGTTAGTGTAAACTAAGTCATGTACTCGTTGCGGTATAGCCAATGTCAGTTCGAGAGCCTTCTGCATACTCTTACTGCTCTGATTAGCTCGTGACGTGTATTTGACGAACTCCTGAAAGTTACCGATTAAGTAATTGGTAGTTCACACTTCAAAAACTCATGAATCCCAAAAAAGGATGAAATAAACTCCATATCAGGAAAAAGACGAGGGCGTGGCCGCGTGTTTAACTTAATTGTGGTAACGACTGTGTGTCTCGTAGGATACTGACGCTTTACTACTTTTGTAGACAGGCCTTTTCCCATCACAAGGCATAATGACAGTTGTCTCAAAAGAAAGTATCCCACAACAAACGAGTCCTACTCCATATTCAAATGAAGCGTGCAGGCCATGCCGCTTCCCATCAGGGTGATATGATTATTAGCCGCAGTGAATATGCAGCTTGCGTTGCAGCTACATGAAAACGGAACCAATTACAGATGAAACCCTCAGAAGACAACCCCGGATGATATCACGATAGGAAGGGTATTGCTGTGTGCCAGAGAGATATGGTTTCTGGTCCACGCGGAGGCTATTTGTCCGCGAATGTGGAGCTAGAAGGTAAGATCCGCAACAAAGCGCGAAAGCTAGCTTGTGGCATTTTCTGATAAGGTGATACGGTTTTCTATGGGAGCTTTGGGCCAAATCAGTCAAAAGTTCGCTCTGCTCGCGAAAGCGACTTTGCTTCATTTGGCAACTCGGATCTTTTGCTCGCCCTTGTCCCGAAAGTGGCACCTCCTGCCGCTGGGAAAAGAAGAACATGCGGAATTACGAACCCCCCCCCCCCTTCCTTTGCCCATCTTATCCATACTATCTACTTCCAGACTTTACACTTTCTTCTCCAGTTCCTCGGGGTGGAAGGGGAATTAATGGCACGGCACGCAGTTCTTGGGGAACTTGGTCGAGTCCGTACGCCCCCCCCCCCCTTTTTTGAGGAGGGTTGGTACGACCCTTTCTCTGGTTCCCTTCTCATCGAGCCCGAGTGGGGGGAGGGAGGGGAAGGGATCATATAGTACACATAAAACAGGAAAAACCACCCAGAAAAATTTTTCTTGGCCCAACTACGACCCTCTCTCCCAGCGAACAAGTACGACTCTCCACGGCGAATCACGCAAACACATGATGGGCCCCTGGGCAATGGAAAGGAGGAGTATATAGCAGAGAAGCGAAAAGGGAGAAATCGGAAACATCAGCAACGTCGAAAACATTCTGCTCTAAAGACAAGTAGACCGCTTCGCTCCTCCTCCCTTCGACTGCGAAATAAGACCCCATCGTTAGGATCCACAACGTACGACGTGCTCTGATCCCGAAGGGCATTTTATAAATGTGGAGGCTGCTCGTCCTACTACCAAATCTAAACCCATTCATTAGCTTATCAGTCTCACCTTGAAGAAGTTCTGATAATGTGTGATTCTTTCGGAGACATTTTTCAGGTGTTCCGCGAATGTGTGAGCTCCAGCTTCGTACTTGTCAGCAATGGACTGAAATTGAACAGTTTGAGCATGGCAGGACATATCTTACCAGGGCATTATCATCAGCTTTCACACAATGGCCATGGACTTTATGTTATATGTTTATTCCACCAGTTTACATGTTACGAACTACAGTTGCAGCTAGAACCGGCAGCAGAAAAAGAACAAAAATTAACAGGCAAGATGCAAAGCTGAAGGGGCGAGAAGTGTTATAACTAAATGATAAAGAACAAGCAAAAATATTAACGTGGTTGGAGGGGTCATGTGGCAACAGTGGGGGACAGGCGAAATGTGAGTGTCTCCTATTCCTGCTGTCGACTTGCCCCTCCGACCTCACATCTACCTTCGATTTTCAATAGATGTTGAATATGAGAACAAAAGTTGCAAGTTGGATATGATCACCTGACAAAGGGGAACTGACGCTCATGGAGGCGCAGTTCGGCGACGGGGAGGGGGGGGGGTATGCTTCGCAACTTAGCTCTCCGGCATCGAGCGTGTGCGAACGCCATCAGACAGGCCTGCTTCTGTCTTACAACCTGTTCAGCTTCACAAGAGGTTCACATTTAACCAGAGTGAGACTTGTAAACGAAACTAGTGCAAGGCTAAGAAACCACAACAATGGCCTCCACCCCGTCGCTGATTTCGTCGTAGCGACGGAACATCGGTGGCCGTCTGGACGTTGGAGACGTAAACTCTAACATCCGGGAGATTGGATAGGGCAGCGCCGTCTCCGCTCACTTCGTTAGACTGCTTTGGTGGTGGCTCGACTTGTGGTGGGATTTTTCATCTTAGAATCATTTCAAAGACATTTTTGTCCAGCATAAAACAGGAGGACAGTTCTCTCATATAATCTCACAAGAAACGCGCTTGCCATGTTCAAAATAAACTACCGCAAACCTATTTACGGGAATACTGAATATAACTGTGGCTCAATATAGAAATTTAGTGCTTTCCCTGAGCTATAGCGGCAAAGGTATTTGAAACCGAGGCAGAGCATTGGTGTGGGTGACATGGTAAAGTCAGTACGACCGCTCCGATTTCATCCCCTGGTATGCCTCAGCGACCCTTAGTACGCCCTTCTACTGGGTTTCGCTGACTTATGCTGCTTGTGAAATGTCCGAACAGCATCCCTTCCGGTAGGGACGGAACACAACAGGCAGAAATAAGCTTCGAGCACCAAAGAGAAAAAGCTGGATCGACTGCGTGCTTTTTTAAAGTTTCATCGGAGTTTCTTGAGGCGGAGGTGATCTAAGGGCAAAAAGCAGGCTTACCACGCACGCGGTCCGGCGGTAAAATACCGGGTTGGCTGCAGTCCAGACCAACCAAGTCCTCTACCCTGCGGGACGGTAGATTGATGCCGGGTTGCGTGCAGGGCAAGGGCAAGCACAAAAAAAGCATTGACTTTGTAAATTGCTTCGCAATGAGCGCAAGTCATTGTATAGATTTGAAATAGAAAAATCAATCCACCAGACAAATATTTAAGGGGACTAACGAGGCTGAAATTAACTAGAAATTCCTTTTCGCTCCCCGCCTGTTCTGCAGTGTTTCTTTTTTCCGCTGCTGCAGACGGAACCGTCGCCTGAGCTGCTCTTATTATCAACTATCATCAATATCATCAGAACCACCAGACAGGAATTTCCAGCAGGAGAAGAAGGAAGAGAGATGAAGCTCAGTGGTACACCTGCTGAATTTGAATAAACTAACCCCAAGGAAAGAAAAGATTGAAGAAATTTGCATAAGGCAGGATGCCTCTCTCTCGTCAAAAATTCTCCTCTGTCCGACCTCCCCATTCTCCACAACACTTTCCTCAGTTTTCACACAGCTTTTCAAATACCTTCCAGTTTCCAAGAAAAATAAGATGGGGCTGCAGCGTAGGTGGTGAAGGAAATGGGCGATTTATTGAGCGGGCGCCTCCTAAGCCACGGCACAATCATTTAGTTAGGGATTTGCGGTCCGTACGACCTTACCTTTTGTTCCCTTAATTTACGGCTCCCCTTTATTAAGGGGCTTGATAGAACCTGTCTGGTTCGCCCTTATGCGAGCGTGTCGAAGCGGAAGGGGAACGCGACCGTACCCTGAAATTTCTTTTTTAAATATTGCATAACGCGCCAACTTCCTACTAAGGTTTTCCGGAATTCGGCCAGAATTCTCGCTGCTTTTAGCCCGAAAGATTTTGCTGTGCCGAGCGGGATCGGAGGGAGGGGCTGTTATACTACAGCATGTAGCAGGAAAAAAGCTATCAAAGGACAGCTACCTTCGCTCAGAAGTTTCAGTAGAGAAATACGATTCGACTCCCGCCCCGCCCTCCTTCACAACGTCTCTGAAACAAGAAAAAATCAAAATCAAAGCAAATCCATCAAAGAAAATTTTTTCTCGGGGCAATAATGGTTTGGGGAATCCCATAACAACATCTTGTGCTCTGCTCCTAACATCAACTAGATCGCGTTAGAAAGAACTGGTTTTGCAGGCCAGTGGAATAAATTTGTAGTGCACATGAAACGGGAAAAAAGGGAGAAGTCGACCACCGAAAAACTTCCTCGTGACATGGAAAAACTTTTCGCGAAAGGCAATTTCGACGCCAAATACAGCCCCCTCTATAGAGACACTCCCAAAGATATACATAGCGCGTACCAATCGGGAAATCAACAATCAAAAAATGTCTATCTGTTAGGACAAATACGACCCCCCCCCTCCACTGGCGATCCCTGACGTACTAGTATTAGCAAGGTTCCAATGATCACTCATATGAGAGAAATTCAGAGTTAGGAGACGTGGAAAAAAACTTGAGGTAATTTTGAAGGAAAACTTGACTTGAAATTACAGGGCAAATCCAAGTCTCAGCGCAGTTCGGCAACGGGAGGGCACTTTGCACTTTCGTTGCTTCACTAGTTCCGGTTTACAAGTTCACTCTGGTGAAACCTGTGAACTCTTGTGAAGCTGGAGCAAGCTCGTCAAGCCATCATGGTAAAACCTGTCAACTCGAGAAGAGGCTGTTTAGACGGGTTGACTCGTCGGTGAGAAGTAGCAAAGTGCAAAATGACCCCTCCCCCTTACCTGAACCGTTCCCCTAAGCCCAATGGTCAATAACGCAACAGGAGGAAAGAATCAAGATCCCATAGGTGCTTAAAACTATTTGTAACGACATAGATATTTGAGAGAAAATCAGACTGTAATGGATAAAATAGGTTTTCTCTGATAATGGAGTCCCTATTTCGTTCAGGAAAATGTGCAGGGTCAGGCCTATGACTGGGCTTTCTTCATTGGAGACTTCCATTGTGGAACGGTAAAGAGGAAGCATTCAAACAGGGTGACGTGCGCAAGATTCTCATCATGCCCCATGCCCCTCCCAAGACTGGCGCTGCGCGTCGACACCATCTCCCAAGTGGGAACTAATGGTTTACGGACTGGAAAATGAGGAGAGCACGTTCATACTTGCGATTTGCACGGTGATGGCTGCCAGAGGGACTTGCAGAGACGTCACTCACAGGGCACATCATTACTTGGAGATTCTGGTCGAGTCCATACGTTCCCCCCCCCCCCCCTCCTCAAAAGGTGGCTTGATACGGCCCTTCCCACCTAGTTCTCTCCTCTCAAACGAGAGCGGGGAGGAGTATAGCACATGTGATGGGAAAGATAGCTAGGAAAATAGGACCCCCTCTTCCCATCCTA